CCTCTTACTTTATATTCACCTGCCCAGCAAAACCAGCGTTGTCCTGCTGTGATCCACCAATCCTGCGCCTCCATCTTCTTCATTCAAGTCATGAGCCAGTTGTCTCTTTTGGATCCCCCCCAGATGCCCACTGCAGGGGGGGCAGGGCCAGACCAGTCACTTTGCACAAGGAGAGCGAACAGCAGTGACCGGTCTTTATTACAGGAGGAGGCGGAGACAAGACCAGTCACCCTGCACAAGGAGAGAGAGCAGCAGTGAGGGGTCTTTATTACAGGAAGAGGCGGAGACAAAACCGGTCACCCTGCACAGAGAGAGAGCAGCAGTGAGGGGTCTTTATTACAGGAAGAGGCGGAGACAAAACCGGTCACCCTGCACAGAGAGAGAGCAGCAGTGAGGGGTCTTTATTACAGGAAGAGGCGGAGACAAAACCGGTCACCCTGCACAGAGAGAGAGCAGCAGTGAGGGGTCTTTATTACAGGAAGAGGCGGAGACAAAACCGGTCACCCTGCACAGAGAGAGAGCAGCAGTGAGGGGTCTTTATTACAGGAAGAGGCGGAGACAAAACCGGTCACCCTGCACAGAGAGAGAGCAGCAGTGAGGGGTCTTTATTACAGGAAGAGGCGGAGACAAAACCGGTCACCCTGCACAGAGAGAGAGCAGCAGTGAGGGGTCTTTATTACAGGAAGCTCCAAGTCTCACATTGGATTACTGCACAGATCTGGAAGAAATACACAAAGCTCACCGAGATTCAGGAAGGACACACGGCTCTTGTATGAGGACAATATCTGCTGATCCCGAAGATCAGATTTAAAGTATTAACGCCAAAACTTGTTTTGGAAAAAGCTAAAAGATCCTCAGAACCTCTGTAGTTTTCCTTCTCGTCCTCGTCCCCAAAACATTTGGATACATTGTATTCGGCTCTGATAACACAATATTACCACAATCGTTTCCTCCTCTGTACGGATCCCTCAGGTCGGAGTTCCCCGGATTCGGTGTCCCCCTGTGATAGGATGCGGCCATGTTTTCTGGCATCCTTGTGCCTGCGCTGTGCGGGGACGATGTGGCGTTCCCTCTCCTGCCATATGTACTCATCCTTCCTGTCCTGTTGCATTATATATGAAGGGACGGCTCGTCCCCTCCGCCATTGTTTATTCATTAGCTGGAACATATTCGGAAGACGCATCACCGGAGAGCCCGTCTGTCCGTCCGTCTGTCTGTGGGCTGGGGGAGTCCTCCATACATTGTGTGACGTGGAGCCCTATCTGATGATACATGTAGTATGTGCAGGATCGCCACAGTGCTTGGCTGTTCTTAAAGTTCCGGGGTCCTGGCCTCAACTCCCATGCCGTAGAGTGTAAGCTCCTGTGGTGCAGTGACTGATGTGAATGGCTCAGTGTTCTCTGTACAGCACTGCGGTATATGTCGGAGCTATACCAATGTATAATAATAGTGTGTGAGTGTGGTGGGAGTTCAGCTTTAAGCCTGGCCATACCCTCCTACATAGAGATGGCTGAAGACCCTCCAGGACAGCTAAGCCTTCAGGGCCGATGTCAAAACTCGGAGACAATGGAGAACCCGAAGCATGATGCCTTCAGTGGTACATATCTACCAATCTCTCAATTTTGGGGGGGCGCGCCAATACTTTAAGGGTCCCGTTCACGCACTTTTTGTGGGTGCTGGCTGCGATGCTCCACATTTTGTTTGCTCCAGTTCCCCCCAATGTACATTTCACATCCGTCCCTCCCTCAAGGCGCTTACAATCTAAGGTCATTATGTCACACGCACACACTAGGACCTCGGCCCTCCAGCTGTGGGGGAACTACAAGTCCAACCCTGACAGCCACTGGCATGACTTCCAGAGGCCAAGGCATGTTGGGATTTGTAGCATCACCACAGCTGGGGAGCCCTAGGGCCAATTTAGAGCCCTTTGACGTACCAGCATGTCTTTGACGTCTGGTAGGAAGCTGGAGTAGCGGGGAGAAGGCCACGCAAGCACCGGGAGAAGGTACAAGTTCTGTGCCGGTAGTGTCTTGGCTGGCAGGCAGAAGTGCTAACCACTGAGCCACTGTGTTGCCCGAATGTGATGAATTGCCCTATTATGTAGAAGGTGTGGAGGCTTCATTGTGCAAACAAATATAGTAAAGTCAAAGCGCTGTGCACGGATCCTGGTGATTGAGTATATGTATAAAATGACTAGGGGTGCTGCCCCACTTCACCCGGGGGGAACTGTAAAACTGGAATACAAAAAGGACAGAAGGGCGCCCAACCTAGTGCAGATTATTTTTTATTTTAAAAGACACAAAGGTAAAAATGCAATGGTACTCACAATGGTAGGTGATAAAACAGCTCGTATGGATGATTTAAAAGAAACAGCAGTTTCAGGACTGCAATCTGCCTGTGTGCCACCGTAGTGTGGCGGCGTTGACGCGTTTCCGGGGTCACGCCCCCTTCCTCAGAACCACGTTGTAACGTCATCCATACGAGCTGTTTTATCACCTACCATTGTGAGTACCATTGCATTTTTACCTTTGTGTCTTTTAAAATAAAAAATAATCTGCACTAGGTTGGGCGCCCTTCTGTCCTTTTTGCTTCATTGTGCAAGTTTATATCATGTTTTATCATGGCAGATGGCACAGGTGTGCGCCCCTCTCCGTCCGTCATCCTTCAGGGGCCTCACACTGGGGGCCACGTCTTAGTATTATTGCGTGTATATGATGTTATTGGTGAGCTTAAAGGAGAACTCCCAGGTCTGAACAACTTCGGTCCCCTTTTTGAGGGGTTCCCAGCCCCCCCCCTGTGCTGAGTTCCCGGGTCTGTACACCCGCTGTGCCCATTATGAGGGGCTCCCACCATCACTATACTGAGTTCCCGGGTCTGTACACCTGCTGTGCATTATGAGGGACTCCCACCATCCCTGTGCTGAGTTCTCGGGTCTGTACACCTCCTGTGCCCATTATGAGGAGCTCCCACCATCCCTGCGCTGAGTTCCCGGGTCTATCCACCCGCTCTGCCCATTATGAGGGACTCCCACCATCCCTGTGCTGAGTTCCTGGGTCTGTACACCCGCTGTGCCCATTATGCGGGGCTCCCACCATCCCTATGCTGAGTTCCTGGGTCTGTACACCCGCTGTGCCCATTATGAGGGGCTCCCACCATCACTATACTGAGTTCCCGGGTCTGTACACCTGCTGTGCCCACTATGAGGAGCTCCCACCATCCCTGTGCTGAGTTCTCGGGTCTGTACACCTCCTGTGCCCATTATGAGGGGCCCCCACCATCCCTGTGCTGAGTTCCCGGGTCTGTACACCTGCTGTGCCCATTATGAGGGACTCCCACCATCCCTGTGCTGAGTTCCCGGGTCTGTACACCCGCTGTGCCCATTATGAGGAGCTCCCACCATCCCTGCTGGATTTTCATGCATGTAGATGGCTCATAGCAGGCAGTAACTGGCAGAGTGATCTCGGTGCTGCAAGACACATAGGAAGCCATGAGGTGATGCAACCTACCAGACATATAACTGAAAGACTCTCTGTGGTTGGGTTGGTGCTTTGGGAGCGCTGCGAATGTGCACAGCACCCGACAACTGTAGCCGGACCTGGTCTCGGAACATTCTG